TTTGCCTCAAAACCTCAAATCTTAGAGGGATCCTCTCTGTAGCTGACATGGATGTCTCCTCTGAGGAGCGGCTCTGTGATGTGATATTAGTCATTTTGGATCACGATTCACAGAGATGGAACCGTTTCATCTCCTGCCAAACATATCTAACGGGGCCTCTCGTGTTTATTTTCTGCCTTGCAGCTCACCTGAAGTCCAAAAAGCATCACTATCATGTGAGGAAGAAGAGGAAGTCTGATCCAGCCGGAGACCAATCACAGGTTACCGCTGCACCTCCCGCCTCTGCTGCAGGGATTGTGGAAAACGTCTCTAAGGACTCTTGTGCTCCTGTTGCCCCGGGCTGCACTGAAACCTCTCAGGAGTCGTCCCAAGACGTCAGGACATCGCACAAGGAAGTACCTGTGACATTTTAAGAGTGATGCAGACTCTGGACTACGTACGTTCAGGTTTCCACCACTGTCCTGCACTCACGGCTGTCCCCTTCCAGCCCTTTACAGGGCTACTTTTGTTGCTTCCAATAGAGTCGAATTGAACTGTATTTCCTCTTTTCTTCTTCCTAGGAATTAATAACACTGAATGTGAAAAGCAAAGAACGCATTTGAAAAACTGCTGAATATTTTTATAAACTTTCATTCGTAGTTGCTCCGAGTATGGATCCTTGAAGCGTTTTATTTTGTAGTAGATGTAAGAGGTGGGCGTTATTCTGGTTTCATCAACGTCACCGGTGTGACAATCGCCCACGACGTGGATTTTGCAATACAGTCTTTACCATGACAAGCACACACACACGTTTTGGCTGCTGGTGCCTGCCATCAACACATCGTTTACACTGTATATTTTTGCTGAGAAGAAATAGGCGACATATGCCGAATTTTTAGATGAGCCGCCCCCAGCCGAGCCGTGCTGCTCACGGTCCCTGTGAGTTTGTTTTGTTTACCGTACTGGTCCAACAGCGTCGACTCTTTCCTCCTGTGGGTTAAAATGTAGAAGGTTATGTCATCTTTCTCGGTTTCTTCAGAGATTTGTATTCTTTTAGGTGGAATGTGATTCCCAGTTTGGCTTCGGCGAAAAAAACTTTTCAATATTAAAACAGTAAATATGTGAAAAAAAAGCTCCCAATGAATCACATTAGATTTACATGAGGCAGGCGACTCCTCCCCCAAAACACATATTAGCATTAGAGTGAAAATTGGGTGAATAATAATGTTTTGAGTGGAGTATGCCTTTTATTTTTCTAACACTGATGTATACCGTCATAATTATACATAAAACATGAAACGGGTCATATCGCCCACACCTGGTAGAGATGTTGATGGTCAGGACATTTCAAGATTCTGGACTCAAGAGGATAAATTAGGCTCTCTTGTTTTTTTTCCCCGCACTGCTTATTATAAAAGAGGTTTATTTTGAAATCAACGTTCATACTGTTGCTACCTTCTGTTTTGACTGTTAGCTTTTCATGGTTTAAGTCTCTTTGTCTTGTCTTTAACTTGAACCATCATGCACTTTAAAAAAAAAAAAAATAAACCAAAGGACCTTAAAGTTTCTTAACCAATGGCGGATTAACGGTGTGTGTTTTACAAAACAGGATTTGACATCAGCAGCAGTTCTACCTTCACGTCCGTCAGCGGCGTGCTGCTTACACAGCACAAAGTGTGCGGCCACCACGTTTGACCGTCGTTCTGTTTTTCTATCTCTCTGTGCGATAACAACCAGTCGCCTGATTTCTGCTGTTGTGTCACAGCGGCTCAGCTGAGCTCATTGCTGCTCTGACGGTAGTTTGAACCGGCGGCTCGGGCTGTGAGGAGAGTGAGAGAGTGTTTTCACAAGCGCTGTTTGCAGGCCTTTGTTTATCCAGCGGCGTGTCAGGCCAAGGTGTGCCTTCCCCGCTGCTAAACCACTTACACAATACCTGGCATTGGGCCAGATGCCTCTTTTGGCGCTCCTTTTCCCTTTCCTCATCTGCCACCCCCCCTCAAAGAATCAGACAATTGTTTCACATTCCCGGCTAACACTCCATCATCTCTTTCTTAAAGTTTCTCCGAGTCTTAGATGTATTCTTTCAGTTCGACTTCTGTTCACAGGCTCCCAGTGTTTGACCTCATCCACATGACTGAAAATATTTCCAGCCATATAATAGCTGGAAGTGTGTGTGTGTGTGTGTGTGTGTGTGTGTGTGTGTGTGTGTGTGTGTCCCACATTCTCTCTTTCTCGTTCTCTTTCAAACTGGGTCAGGCCTCCAGCTTACTGGAGGCTTACCATACAGTATGTAGTAACACCGATGGCAAAGGTCACCGTGCAACTGGTGTCTGTTTTTTATTCCCCTTTCTGTGTTTGGATTCTGGTTTGTTTTTCTTTCCTTCTTTGTTATATTTCCCCTACTGTGATTCATTTTTGTACTTCTATCACCTCTGGAATAACAGCAACAATGAGAGTGATCTTTGAGTCAGAGGACTTGCCACTATCATCTGATACACCTTTTTAAAAACATTTTCTAAAGCATCATTTTGTGTGGTATGATCTTATCTCGATTGCCTCGGCGAGTCCGGCCTGGCACCTCCAGGCACTGCTGAATCACTCCACATTTAAAAAAGAAAACAATGTCATAAGGCCTCTTGAACTGCGCACTCGCAGAAGTGGAGAACTAGGGCAGCGTCCACGGTCACAAAGCTAATTAGTGATTTACGCGCCGAGATGCGGTAGATCATCTATGGACACACACACATGCACTGAGTGAACTCATTAGCTCCAGACAGTGAGCACAAAGAATCAACACACCAGACCAGCTTTGAAATGGGAAACCAGCAACAATGGCCTCCCTCAGACACTCACAAATAAGTGCTCTAGAAGTGCAGTTTTGTTTTGCTTTCTTGAAGGTTTGATTTGATGACCGCTGAGCAGAGTGTGTGTTTCTTTTTTATATGTATAGCTGCATCAGTCAGCGAGCCGCGCGATAATTCACCCAGTTCTAGCGCTCCATTTCTGTCTCTCCCCTTCTCTCAGTTCTGTCCTCCCTACAGCGGCTAGCTGGATATGTTCACAGTGCACACTCTGTCCGATGGATGAGGCCCACGGTGGGGGAACTACAGGCTTACTTATGTAGCACATGCTGCAGCCTATAGATGCTTGTTGTCTGTGTCAGGCATGTTTGCCGTGGGGTTTTTGCCCTCTGGTACTGGCTTCGCTGCACATACTGCATCCAGTGTGTGCTGCAAATTCATGCCTTTGACTAGACGTCACTTTTTCTATGCATCATCTTGACATTGATTTGTGAGGCATCACCAGTTTGTATCATGATGGATGAATGGTTGTGATGTTTGGGGGATTTACTACTGAAACAGGAATTTATTTGTTTTTATTTTTAAATAGAAAAACTGTCACGTTAGCTGCTTTGTGCGTTTTGATTTAGTGTAATAATGCTGTACGTTAAATACCTTTAAGCTGTGGTCTGTATACATGGTGCCCAGAGGACAATTTTGTTAACTTTGATTTGACCCTCTAACGTTTCCTCTTGCACCACCATCAGGTCCGACTAATAAGTTTGTCCAAAACTGTAGTTTGTGACCAAATACCTGCCAAACTAAGGGCATTCCCATCAGCAACTTTGGGTTTAATGCTACTGTAACTCGACAATGTTAGCATGCTAACACGACAAACTAATATTGTTGACATGGAAAACATTTTACCGGCAAAATATGTTAGCATTGTTATTGTTAGCATGCTGACATTAGCATTTAGCTCAAAGCACCCCTGTGTCTAAGTATCGCCCCACAGAGCTGCTAGCATAGCCCCAGATGTTTGGTTTGGGTTATATTTTAAAGACTAAATGTTTAAATTGGAAACATAATCAACAGATTAATGATGGAAATTAACTTTAGTTTCATATCTAATTTGATCTTTAATGCTATTAAAGGAAATATTTGACATTTTGGGTTAGATAAGATAGATAAGAGGCTCGACTCCATTCTCTTTTGTGTACAATATATGTTTAGCTACAGCTAGGTTAGCTTAGCATAGCATAAAGACTGGAGAGGGCAGGGCAGCTAGCCTTTTTTTTGTTTAACAAACAAGATATATATCGTGTTAGTTGATGAGCATTAGGAGGTGCTGGTAGGAGGATTTTGTTACCTTTGGACGGAGCCATGCCAGCTGTTTCCTTCTGTTTACAGCCTTTATGCTAAGCTAAGTAGCTTTATATGTACATACAGATATCAGAGTGATATCAGTTTTTCTCGTAAAACTCTTGAAGAGAAAGCAAATTTGTGTCAACCTATTCTTTTAAGGAATCCATCAATGCTACATGGTGTATTTATAAGAATAAATTCAACTTGAATTTACTCTAATGCAACATGTTGGGGTCTTTTTGTTTGTTTGTATGCTACTAATGCCAATCACACTCTGATGTTGAACTTGCAGAGCCCTGCTCTGCTGTAGTTGTGTCATCCAGTGACTGTGTGTCTAGGTAATTTGAAGTCAACTTAATCCTAATCTCTAATCCCATTTGACTAAACATTCCCTGCCATATGGCCCTGGCGAGACACACAAAAAAAAAGACACACACGCAGGCAGACTAATCAGATAGAGCAGCAGCTGTGGTCGAAGACGCTGTTGACTGGACTACCACGAACAAAAACAACGTTATTTATGATTAATATCAGCTGTGTTAATGTGGTCTGAACATGTTTACAGATAATACAGAAGGACAAATATTTGGCAGAATACTAGACACCACACGGTTTTATAATCTCAGAGTAGAAGTATGTGGAACGCAAAGGACTTGGTTAAGAATGTGTAACTTCTGTCTCCGTAAACAAGACGGTGACGAGCAAAAGGTCAACTATCAGGATGCCAGCTATTGTGGGCATGAATTTATTTGATCTTTATCTCAAGTACAGAGACTACAGAGTGCTGTTATTAGTGCTCAGTAGCATTAGTTCCTCGTTTATTGTCTTTTAAAGATGTGTGTGTGTGTGTGTGTGTGTGTGTGTGTGTGTGTGTGTGTGTGTGCGCGTGCGCGCACATATGAGAGGAGTCTGCTTTTTTGTTGTTGCATGTTTCATATTTGCAATGCACTGACTAGTGCTAGTGGGCGTTTGTGGTTAAGTGTAATAGTTGTGTGTTTGTATTTATATGCATTATGTATTACACACACGGCCAGAGCTGCACACTGAGGGATGAGTGTGTATCAGCACAGGAGACGATGTTTTTGTGATGTTTCAATGCGATCAGATGTAGCCTATGCATCCGGAGCCAAGTGCAGACCATCATTTATTTATGTGTGTGTGTGTGTGTGTCTGTAGAGACACTCGAGGTTCAGTGAGTTTATGCAGCTCCCTCCTTCTCTTTTCGTCTCGCTGTCTGGCTACTGGGGTGGCCGCTGTATACGAAAAACACGACAGAAGGATGAGGAGAGGAAGAGATGTGATCAGATGTGAAAAGCCTCTAAGGAAAGTGTCATAGGTGCAGTGTATGCATGGCTTCCTATAGTCTCTCTCTCTCTCTCCCTCCCCCCTGCATATTTCCTGCCCGGTTATGTAATGCGGGGGCCGCTCGGTACTTTTTTTTTCCCTTCTTCTTCTACCCTTCCCAATCCAGAGCATGACATGCCTTCCTGTTTTTCCAACAACCCAGTGAACTCTTTTCCCAGGGCAACACTTAGGAGGGTGCGTGCGCACGCACACACACATATACATACACACACACACACACACACACACAGTATCGTCACGTATTGTAAGTAATTTGCTTATTTTAGCCAAAGCTTCTTACCCCGGATGTATTGTGTCTGGTGGGCCACATTAATGTCATTGTCTCACTGTGTGTGTGTGTGTCATCTGCCTTCATATCATAATACATCCTCTCTTCAGTCCTGATGTCAATTTCTTCTTTAATTTATCTGTGTGTCCACTTTGGCAAGGAGAAATGGGTGTGCCAGTCCAATGACAAACAATGCAGCCCAACTGCCAGATGTGTGTGTGTGTGTGTGTGTGTGTGTAAGCATGCTTGTGTGTTCATTTTATTGCATGTGTGCAATGCACTCTCTGCAGTGGACTGTGTGTGTGTGTGTGTGTGTTTCTGGGTCTCTCCATTGTCAGTGGCTTAAGCGCTGGAGCTTTTTCCCGCCAGTGCGGCGTTTTGTGGGAGGGGCTGTGGCTGGGCTCAGCAGCAACAAAGAGCCAGAGCTTCCCGCCTGATATGCAAATAGGTGTTGAGTGGGCGGGGCCGGGAGCCTCCCCTACTGCAGCGTTTAACCCCTTCACTGCCATGGTGCGTTTGCGCTCCTTCTCAAAAGGTTGATTTATCTTTTGGCAGTTGTTATGCAAACATTATGTTCTTTATTCATGGCCACATTAAATGACCTGCTGACCATTATTGACCCTCCGTTTTCCCACTATCTTTGCAGTGTTACTATGTTTGAATTTTACACGGTCCCAGATTAACTCTGTGGAAATTTGATTGAACATAAATGAAGTGGTCTTAAAACTAGATCTTGGACCCTCTTCATGACAGATCCTGGTTATAAAATAACTGTTATTGATATCTTGTACCCTGCAATTCAAATTATAATATAATTCTACATTTATTCATCACCATTCATTTAAATTGATGGTATTGTGCAATACTACAATATCAATATGAATATCTCAACCTGCAAAACAGCTTGAATTATTTGATTTCATCGTCTTGCTGTGAGGAGACGTTTTTCATCTGGAACTATTTCTTCTTTATTTCAGTGACCGATCGACCCCTCGTGTGACACTAACATTAACAGTGAGCAACAGTTAATATAAGAATCAAAAACATATTCATGGATGAAGTCCATTGAGATCATATGGATGACATGCAGTAGCTTTGAAACTAAATGATAAATCACCTTTTGGCTTTGCTTCCATAGATTTTGAAGATTTTGAGTTCCTGCAAAGAGAATAAAACACGTTGCTGCTCACCTGAACATGCTCTGAATTTAAACTACTTAAGTTTCATTGTGTTACTGATACTTCACTAAAAAGTGTAAAAACCTGATGCAGTATTTTAAAAAGTCGAAGCTCCATTTGCTTTTTACAGATATTGTAAAACAGATTTTGTGTGCGTGTGTGTGTCCACTTATAACTGCCCACGGCTCGCCCATGTTCTAAGTGTGTTACGCAAGCCAATGTAACATTAGAAGGCATGTAGACCAGTAGCAGCTGTCGTACACATACATGTGCGCTCCACACATTCTCTTCACCCCATTTCAAACAAAGGGCTCTATTATATGAAGACGTCGTGGGCTTCGACATGCTAAGCAGACGGCGGACTCCACACGGTCTCACACACACCTCATACACTGTCAAATGTTTCAGATATTCACTCACTGTGCTCTCCATTCGTGCGTTTCTCTATTGCAAACTATATTTAACGTATGACCACATGATTCATGGGAAACATTGGAGCCACGCAGTCGACGGCAGACGTACAACATTTGTGATATTTGATCCAAGGCTTCTGATTCTCTAACAATCTGCTTTTTCTCCTAGAACCAGTAGCTGCATGCTCATGCATGCGACTGTGAACAAAAACATTAGTTTATGAGTTGGTCACTTTGGTCGTGCAGCATTAGAAACGTTACCCATGTCCAACACTATAGAAAGAATGAGGGCACATCACTCCACTAATTGACTATTATTAAACTATTTTATTCTAGATTGAGAGAAACTTTATTGACCCTGAAAGCAACAGAATTGTGTTTTTTGACACCGCTCATATGCGGGCTTGTATGCGGTGTAAGGATTTCTGGCACAACTTTCACCTACTTTACTTCCAAGGTGCGTGGTGAAAGGAAAGAGTCTGAAGAGGTGAAAACCCCGGAAACACTCGTAGTATAAAGAAGACATGAACTGTGGCTTCATCTGATGAAGACAACAAGCCGAAGCGTGCTGGTCTCACACTAAAGTTGTTGTTTATACTTTAAATGTTTACACTGCAGTCTTGACGTCCTCTTCACACTGGACTTTAACAGTCTTGTGATTTAACGTTTTTACAAACAACATTCAGAGCATTAATATAGCATCAAACAACTGTTTTCTATGTAAAGATATAGTGGAGTCAAATGAGCAGAGAATGAAGTTTCCGCTCTCCGTGTGTGTGTGTGTGTGTGTGTTGTAATCCGAGCTTCTCTGTGCTTTGTTTACGGAGCCGTGCGTGCCTTTTTTTTTTAGTGCACGTGAGAGTGTCTTGCTAAGAAAAGCAGTGTGATTCTAATAACAAGGCGGTTACAGCTGAGAACATGGTGAGAAGTGTAACCGCCCCCCCCCCCCAGCTTAACACTGTTAGCTCTGTCAGCACTGTTGCCGTTATTTGCTCTGTTAGCTGTGAGCCGCCGGCTCAACTGTCGCCATGTTGAGAGCCGTTTAGAGGCACTAGATATGCCCGTAATTTCAAATGTAGCACCTTTAGCCACCAAATAGCCAACTTTCAAAGAAAAAAAGTGCCAGAATGTACTCAATAACTGCAGAATTCTTTATTTTTGAATGATTGGAAAAGACTTCCACCTCATAGAGCTACAGAAATGCACTCGCAGACACACACAGGCGTGTTACATGCACACAGAAGATGTTGGTTAGCACAGTTGTACGGCGCAGGTTGACCGTAACGACACCCGGGCTGTTTTACATTGCGGCTGGCGAGCAGAGTGACTTTCTGCTGATATGAAATACATCAGGTGTGTGTGTGTTCATCAGATAGGTGTGTGTGAGCGAGACACGATGAGCGGAAAAAAAAGAGGCTTCAGTGAAAGGCCAGAGGGGAAGGCACAGTTGAGTGTGTATCGCACACACAGTTTGGCTGATAAGGTCACACCTCCCCTCCCCTTCGCAGGGCAGTTAACGGTTAATAGCTGATCCGTTTGGGCCCAGCCCTGCTGCAGTGGCGCGACTTAAAGAGGGAAAGCAACAATGCGAGCGGGGAATTTGCAAAACATTTCAGGGGAACTTTGGGATTATCTGATAGCCTTGACTGTTGGTGGAGTCTAACGGAAAATAAAATTCCCCCTCTCATGACCCTGTGTGCTCTGCTAAACCATCCTCACAAGAATAAAGGTCCGAGAAAACACTTGTAACATGTAGGTTTTGCCTCAGTTTCTTTGCCCTTCAGTTTCTGTCACAATGCATCACCTGCATATGTAATTTAACTTTGTTATGTTGTGCTTCGGGTCGTCTGCTGAAAGGTAGTAAATAATTTACATTTGTCAGGAGTAACGCAGGTTTGAATTTGAATGCGTGCCATCAGGGAAGTTAAGTGAGACATTGGTTCCTTATTTATTACATGACAGTTGGGTTACAAAGCCAGACCCGTGGATGGTTTGTACCACACACACACACACACACACTCTTCCTTCCAAACCGCTATTTGCATACTATCTTCTTTCATTTTACTTCCAAATCTCTTTTAGCTCGGCGTTCTTTCCTTGCAGCTGCTTCTTTCTCTGTGTGCAGGCTGTGGTTGTGTTCTGCCCTATAGGATGGTACAGTATCTGCTTGCTGCTCCCTTTTCCACATATAACTTCTGACAGACTCTCCTGTGTCCCCCTGCCCTACTTTACACCTTCCAGCGCTCACACTGTACAGTACAGCCAGACGGACCTTACAGATGGAATTTGTGTCTGAAGCCAGTTATCTTTTAACAAAACCCACTTAGGGCCTCAAGGCAGCTACCATGGATGGTAGTGATGATGTTTAAGTGTGTAATTATGTTTTAAAGTGGTTTGATTATCAAACATTGATGATTATTTGGAACAGAAGATCAGTTCCATCATTCATAATATTGCTATTTCATTAAAGAGTCAGAAGGTCTTTTTTAGGAGGAAGTAAACGGCTTCTGTTTTGATCTTAATTGGTTGGTTTTACAGTCTTTCATTATTGATCTTTTGCTGCCCCCTTGTGGTAAGATGGGGGACATGGCTGAAGTACATAATACTGTTAGAAACATTCAATGCTTAATTTCAATCCGCCCCAATCTCATTAAAGTTCTCTGTCAGACAGAAGTCTGTCCTGAAGCTTGTTGCTTTATTTATACCCGACACCTTAAACATTAAATTAAAGATTATAGTGTTGTTTCAACCGAATATTTAGAGATTAGTGAAACTGCAATATTCCAGTAGCAGTATTAAAATAGAAAGAAAGGACTTTTTTCTCTTTGTTTATTGCAGCTTATTGTTTCTCCTGATGAATTCTGGTTGTTACTGGCCATTAAGAGATAACTTCCCAATTGTTGTTTGTCAAATCTAGTAGATATAAATCAAATGTATACCCTTTTGTGTTTTACAAAAAGTGGCCTCAGGGAGGAAATGATAGGCAATAAAAACAAATTCCCCCCATCATTATTCCTTATTTTGTTAGTACCCATTCATTTCTGGGATTCTTCTGAGGTCGGGGAAGATTTTACTGGAGGCCGAGATCACTCTTACCAAGATGAGAAGAGTCTTCTTGTTCTCACAGTCCACAAACTGTTGGTCCAGCGCAAGAAAACATTTTAAAACATTTAAGAAAAACGCGTTGAATGTCATATAATCAAATTTAGATTACTTTATATTTTAAAGTATTTATAATAATTGGACCATTTGTCCAAATCAATCCCTCTGGATGCTGCTGCACGCGTTCAGCTTCTGAATGACTTCTGCTCTTAGATGCTTTTTGATTTTCCTCTAACTTTAGCACTAACGCTCTGGAGAAACGCATCTTAACTTTTTCTATTAAACAGTACCTTGATTTCATTCTTGCTGATGTTCTTCTCACAGCGTTTCTTCTGGTGGCCTCTCTCCAATTAATAATAAAAAACAATCGGTCACACACCTTTAATTTGTGATCAAGTATTCATCATTCAGCACAGCCGGGTCAGAACAGATTTGGATGGTTAGGAATGTTTAGTGCATCTGGAGTGGGCTTCCCTAATATTTCTTATATGGAAGAGAAATTTAAGAGAATTTAGCTGCATGAGGCCCGATTCCTTGTTGAGCTGCGGTGATCCCAGAAAAGCTTTTAAATACACTTTTGTTCCAGCTGTGTGACACGTATAGCACATCTGCATTAGTTACTACATTGACTAATGTCATGGACGGAGCTCTACAGACACACACCATCAATTGTTGAATGTAATAAATGACAAGTTTATTGTTGCACAAAATGTACAAAATAACAAGCAAATGGACGGCCCCCCCCCCCTTCCCCCTCCCCCTCTTAGCGTCCCTCCCCTCCCTCCGGTTCATCTGCATTAATGAAGCTGAATTTCTGAAACCTATGACTACGGCAAGTCCAATGGTCCAAGCCAAACGCATGGTAATTCTGAGAGACAACACATACCCAATTTCAGCGTCACTGAACAATTAAAAATGAATAAAAACACCTTATTTACACATTTCTGTCAGAACTTTTACAACATGCCATCTATATATTTATACAGACTATGCTTGTTCACATACCCCTGTATAGAAAATATATTATAAGATCAAATTAAATTAGACTAAGGGCTATAGACATCCAAAGTACAGCGCTTCTTTTTACTCTCTGTTTTGAAATTTTTTATTTTTCCATTTCCCACTTGTCCAACAGTTTAGTTCTTTGACAACCTCGTACTAAAAGAAAGAACTCTAGCGATGCAGATTTCCATGTATGTTCTGTTTTTCCCTCGAGGACCCAAGCTGACCACACAGATGCCTGTTGACATATTTACACTGGAGCGCTCAGACCCCTCCCGTAAAATGTAAATTTGACCGCCTTCTGACTTAGTGAGCGTCATTGACCTGGCTCTTTCATATCCTCTTACTTAAAATGATCAGTGATGTTTTAAAGGACTACAAGATCCCCCCCCCTCGAGCCTGGCTTCATGATGGAAGAAAAGCAAAAGACCAATCAGCTTTGGCACTGGGTGAAGAAGTAAGTGTGCTGTGGTTTGCTGGAATGACTTCTATGTTTGTAAAATCTGATTCCTCCCTGTTTGTGCACTAATGTGAATAACTGAAAGCAGTTGTTCTCTGAGTTTGAGATTCACCATATTAGTGCAAAAAAAGAGGGATGAAGTAACTGATATCTTACAAGCTATGAAGTACTGTGGTATCTAGACCACATCAGCACCATGGAGAGAGAGAGAGAGAGAGACATTCAAGTAAAGCCGGACTACTCGCATGATGTTTTGTGCTGGAACATATCGAGCTTAAGGGCACACAACATTGGATGGAATTTTCTTTTGTGGCAAGGAAAAAACACATATCCCATGGATGGATGGATGGATGGATGGATGGATGGGGGAGAATAGGGGTGAGGAGGAGGGGCAATGAGGGAGAAATCAAGGCGAATAAATGGAAGCATCCTAAAAAGACTTCCCGTCTCCTTGCCTCCTTTCCTTCAGCTGCACCGATGCAGCAAATAAACAAAGCAGGTATAATCAAATCTCCGGAGTGCATCCATCACATTGCTTCATGAATCACCTGCAGGTGGAGATCAGTGCAGCGGCGGGAGACTCTGCAACCTCGAGAGCTTAAAGCCTCCTCCGGTCAAACTGAGCGTGAGAGGGAGCACGAGGAAGTCTGTGGGAAGTCGGTTTGGGATCAGATCTGAGGGGAACGGGAGATGGCCTTGTTTGTGTGCAAAAATACTTGTCGGACTACTGCTGGAACATGAACCTTTTGAGCTTGCTTCGGTTCTGACCTTACATTTTTGCAATAAAGCTTCCTCTTTAATCCTACTTCTTTTTCATCTGCTGCATGTGTTTCACTTGTTTTTAATATATATCTATATTTTATTTTCTGGCTTTTTTTTTCTCTTTTCTTACTTTACAAAATGAGAGACAGAATGATGGACAGCTGACAATATATATAATTATTTTTCCTCTTCTTATTATCATCAGGTTTCTCTTAGCCTGGAGATGATTTCCTTTGTTCGTTGTAAACAAACGGGTTTATCAGCCACTGGCGTTTGTTTCCTCCTGCTCCTCTTCTTTTTTTCTCCTCCTTCAAGTGCACTCCCTCTTTCCTCCCTCTGTCCTCCTCCTCATTGCAGCAGGGCCCTGATTTGTTTGGAGGTGCTGTCATCATTTAGATGCCGTGTCGTATACCTGAAGAAGAGAGACGTGTTGAAATGAGAATGTTCTTGGAGATCCTTTTTGTCGGTCACGTCTTTCTCTGTCGCAGAGACACACACACGCACACACACATGTTCATACACACCTCAGTGCGTTCAGGAGTCCCTCCACGCTGTTGGACGGCTGCTCTTTCAGCACCTTGATGCAGCCCTTCATCTGCCCGGCACAAAGACAACACAGGGTGTTAGAGAAAGGTCAGCAGCCACCTATATAATGTCCTGCTGCTACAGCAACTGACTCAAACAACACGCGTTTATAAAAGTAAGAGTGTTTCATGTTCAGTATGTATCATACACGAGCTAACATGTCTTTATAAGGTTAGACCTTGTTTTGTCACTGTTTAACATAAAGCATTGTCTATTTGTCTTCACAGGCGGTGGCCTTTGTGATTTTGCATCCCGGACAGTTTGATTCAAAGGATTTCTGCTTCTGGAAAAAGGTAAAAATATTCAGTATGTCACAAGAAAAAGCTCAAATTAGAGAAAACAGAAGACAACGTGAACCTTTTGTCTCTTTCTCAAATCATCTTCCGCTCAGATTAACCCAGACCACTGGATCAATATCGAGGCTCATAACGAGGGTTGTTTTTCGATTGATTTTCTGGCTTTTAATGCAGTTTATAAATAAATTTGTTTTCCGAACAAATTTTCATTTCTTAAAGAGAACATATGCTCATTTTCAGGTTCGTACTTGTAATTTGAGTTTCTGCTAGAACATGTTTACATGCTTTAATGTTAAAAACAAACTATATTTTTCTCATACTGTCTGTCTGAATAAACCTGTATTCACCCTCTGACTGAAACGCTGACCATCTCTTTAAGTCCCCCTCCCTGAAAAAAGCCCAAATCTGAATGAAGGGTTTGTTGAATCACATGTTCTGCTCTGAACAGCCCACAGAAACCTGACTGGGTTGTCTCATTTCACAGTTTGTGGGTTGGTAGGCACTCCAGATACCCAAACGTATGTGCACCTGCACTAAAGAAGTGAGTTTGTCATGATTATGTATCTGAAACAGTATTTAACGACTAACAAAACAATTCTTGGCAGGCTTCTAAAGGCAGAGCTAGGCAGCTTTTACTGCAGGTTTTATTAGCGGCAAAGTCTCATCTGGCACCACGCTGTGATGATGTATTATTAGAAGTAAGTGCGCGTCTGCCTCCCAAGGACTTGCAGCGTAAACACTCCATTTTAGTTAATAAGCAAAAGTACCTCTCCGAACCCAACGAAAGCTCTAAATGGTGAACAGTCTCCAACGTAATCAAATAGAAATCTTAAAGGAAGTGCTTCACGGTGTTGCAGGGCAGAAATCACAAAGACGTGCGTCTGTTTCTAAACACAGACAACGTGTGCGTACTCACATCGATTTTGGAGGTCTTGGCAAAGGCCCCTACAGGGTGAACGTGGTCATAGAGAATGATGACGCCCACCATCACCCTCATGCAGAACAGCATGGTGTCTGTGTTGGTGAACCGACAGCGGTACTCCCTGGGACAGAGGCAGTCGTGGAGGAGGAGAGGAGTTTCACAAAGAGAAATGAGGACATAGAGTCAGGGTCAGAATACTGAAGCTCTGTGTGACTGCCGATGACTTTCTATTCACATAAAGACATCAAATAAAATAAAGATTAAAGATTTTAAACGTAGCATGAAAGACACTCTGACTCAAACTTGAGACGACCTCTTTTGTGTTGAAAGGGCTCGTTAATTAAAATCTATAGACTTCTGACCTTTGGAGAGGAGGAGAAGCGGGGACGGGATTGATGGAGAGAGGGAAAGTGTGGAAAGTACTCACGGAGTCTCCAGCATGACGCGGCACACACAGGCCATGGTGCTCAGACAGTCCGTGGTGTCCTCTATGGGCAAGGTCTTGTTCTGAAGAAAAAAGAGGAGCAAGAAAAAAAAGCCTCTCTGCATTAAAAGAAAACCCAATATTGATTTGAATGTTTGGAAATTAAACTTTCATCCTTTCCCTCACTAACAAATGCGAGGACACTGTCGTCTGTAGCTCAAGTACCGATTGAACAAAATGTTCTACCACAAGGGGGAGACTGAGCACATCTGCAGAGTTCAATACAAAAAAAACAGCATGTCCTCGAGATTTTGCAAAAGTCTCAAATGTCAGTTTCGTGGAGATGAAGTTAGAAACAATACACTAAAATCTATTCGGCCTTAAAGATATTTTTGATAAAATGACACATTTTGAATACAGTTGAATGAGTAAAACATTTTAACTAATAGATATCAACATGAAACTTCCCCAGTTGATTAGTTGCATTAAGAAAAATACTTTTTGTATTACAAGTTTCCTGAAATTAATTTAATTACGCAAATGAGGCATTATATAATGGTAACATTTGGTGAATTTAGGAGAAATCTACGGACGCAAATTGACAAAGTCGTAAAGTAATCGCCTGAATGTGTATTTTGGACGTTTTCCTTCCACTAGTCTGAAAGAATACATGTTATGGAAGCAAATAAAAGCCCAAAATTGACTAGTGCATGAAAAATGATGTCTCTCCTTAACCAAGTCTTGTTACTGTAGACGTATCTAAAGATCTGACTTAGGAACAAGATCGTACCTCTGAAACAAACTTGGTGGTGGCGTTACTCAGAGTCTTCAGCATTGGCGTTGCTTCAGCGTAGAACAGGGACATCCGATTAGCCATCTCGTTGTTGACCTCGTTCTCCGCCTCCAGCTGTGTGCCAAAACAAAAGGGATATCTTTAACCAGCATTCATCATCAGTTGCAGCCAGCCCAACAATCAAGTCATCCAGACGGTAAAATGAGAGTGGCTCTGATCTGTGTAACTGGAATGGGAAAAGGAGTATTGCATGTACATCTCTTGGAACACCTCAGGTCGTTAATGATCGAAGAGAGAAAGAAAGGGAAGCCGTGCAACACATGTTACGTCTCCGAGGCCTCACCTGCTGGTTGTTCAGCCTGTTCCTACTTATAGTCCTCCTGTAGTAGCTGAAGTCATTCTGAATGGCTGGATTTGTCATCTGCATGGTGAGAGGAGAGTGAGATTCATGATATTGATTTTCCACTCCAGTAAAGGTCAGTTTCTGAGGGGCTGTAATAAGACCGGAAAAAAATGACTCCCGTCACCTTTAGTTCATCAAAGCTGAGTGTGAAATGAAGGATCTCTGCGAACTGTTTGGCCAGAGCCTGCTCCCTCTCCAGGTGCTGCATGGGCGCGTACGGCGGGCTGGTCAGCGCCTCCAGCAGGCTGCGCAGCGCGTTCTCTGCAAACACACTTAAATATCAGAAACAAGCTGGAATCATGACATACTGCTACAGACTGACGTTCAGACTGCTGTAATTCTCTCTAATCTGGCCTTGAATTCTCTTTCATGTCCCCAGATGTAAAAGCAAAACGCAGCAGCAGGAGGATTCAAACTGCTTCAGACAGGTGAAATCACTTCAGTCCAGTTCTGTCACCTCCTCGCTGCATATCACTGGAGTCCTGTTGGGCTTTTAGAAATGAACCCAGCACTTTTGGAGCACAGTGTGGGCCTGAGGCATTATAACAGACCTTTAGACAAGGCTCGGGTCCTCAAACAGGGTCCTTCTGGCTGAGATTTAACATTAAATGTGACCAGAAATTTAGCATCAGAGCCCTTAAGCTTTGGGACAGCATGCCTGTTTGATTCTAAATGTGTCAGCATGACTTTAAGGATGGCGATGTTGGTCTGTCGGTCCATCGGTCCACCACTTTGGTCCAGAAAATATACATTTTGAACTTCATGGACTATGAAATGTGGTCCACTCATGTTCCCCTCAGGATTAATCCTAATGACTGTGGTGATCCTTTAAAGAGCACTCCACTGATTTAGCATTCACCACGGACGCTTCAAAAAAAGGATGAAAATTGATGCAGAAAAACCTGAATTTTAATCTTTTTTAATTTCCTGCATTCGTTTTCCGCCTACTCTACCCACGATGCACCTCGACGGCCAACAGTTTGGTCAGAGACTCGGGTGTGTTGTGCTAATGTAGCCACGAGCAGAGATGAGGAACGGGTTACAGAGGTTCTGCAGTTCAGCAGCTCCCTTTTTGCGTTAACAGTCATCACACAAGACAAACTAAATAGAGTCTGCATGATGCTCCATAGAGGTCACACTGCGGCTGCGGTGTCCGTGACCATCCCCTGTGTCACACATGCTACTGAACCTAAGCCCTTTCACTGCTTTGCTGCCTCTAACAAATCAGACACCAGCAGAGCTGGACCTCAGAGGCTCTCTGTAGTAGTAATGCCTCAGAAGCAAAGTCCCCTGAGGCCCCATCCCTTCATCTGCATTAAAGATTTAGAAGGGCCTTCTATAAATACAGCAATGAAGTGTTTCATCTGAAGGGCCTGGGCACAAACCCCTCTCGCCCTCCTGCTGTTAGCACAGAGCACACGGCCCCTATCCGCTGATTCCTGAGGGTATATAAATACTGACGGTTTGGATAGGGAGACCCTGCAGCTGTTTGTTTACTGTGCATGTGACCTCTTCACCTCTTCTTGTCCCCTTTGGTGAAATAAACAACCCTCCTACTCATTAATATTTGATCGCGTTCTCTCCATGAGGGCGGGAAGGCGACAAGATATCTGTTGTACCATTACTGACGGATACATTAGCGCAGATACATTATCATTAATTATTAGTTATCCCTCTTCACGGTAAGCTGAGTACACGATGTCCACGAGATCGAAGTCTTATTATTGGAAGGCAGGCAGCCCAACTCTATTCCTCTGCTCTCCCTCTCTCTCTCTCTCTCTCTCTTTCGCGCTCTCTCTCTCTCTCTTTGTGCTGGACCACCATGTACCACTGTTTCCAAGCAACGGCTGCCTGGCTGCTAGGTCAGGATGCTGCAGAGATGGCTGAGAGGACATCAGTGTGTGTGTGTGTGTGTGTGTGTGTGTGTGTGTGTGTGTGTGTGTGTGTGTGTGTCAAGGAATGCTTCCGGACTGAAATTGCATGTAAAACCTCGATGGTGGTTCATTGGCAACATGGAGTGGAGCTGTGAAGCAGCACTGACAGAACAAGATGAGCATCTTCCCCCATTTTCTAGTAATTTGATTTTTTCTTTTCTCTTTATGTCCTCAAACATAGAAGCATCACTTTGATGGATGCAAACAGAAACGAACAGTATTTATACAAGAACGACACTTCAAACACCTCATACATTATTCACCACACAAAATAACATTAAAACAATTGATGCCCTGGGGAACCCACCTTATATAGGATGACATATATCACCATTACCTTCATATTTCTATTGTCTCATGAATGCTCTTCTCCTGAGCTGTAATGTTGGCTTTGTCCCTGTGGTTGTTCCCGTATGTAGTGATGTCATCTCTATGTAAGGAACAATAACAGTCTCCCTGTTTATCACCTTAACGTTAATCTGCCTCATTTCAGGTTCAGAGAAACACACACAATGTGTCAGGGTCACAGTGTTTTAACAGCGACTGTCACATATAATGCATGTCAGGCGTCTCACACCCTGCAACTGTCGAGTAGTTGTCAAAAAGACAAAATCAACAGCTGGTGTTACCATGCAGTATCTGTGAGACCATATGTTGAACATTTCAGCGTTCCTGTGCACTCGTATGCACTGCGAATGCCAAGTGACACTCCAAACAGCCTTTTCACACACATTTTTGTCACATAATGTGACAAACGGAGACCAAAGAGAGGTTTTGCCACAGTGCAAGAAAAGCTCATCATAGCCTTTATAGGAGTGCAAGTGATGCTCTTCTTTCTGTGTGCACCCTTCACCTTCATCTTCTTCTGCTGTTTCATTTCTTGTAATCGTCCTCCCTTCCTCTGTCTCTACCCGTACAACCCTTTCACCCACTAAGGTGAAGTTATGTCCTCTTTTAGAGCCACAGTCAAGGCCTTGCTTCTTATCAGACCTTCAATATGACCACCAGAGAGTGTTACATCACCTGAAATAACTCTATAGACTGTACGTAATAGTTACGCTCACCCAGTCGGAGGGAAAACTCGTAGAAGCGCTTCAGTTTGGCCACCAGGGGGCAGACTGCGTTCCAGGCCTTCTCCTGCAGCGCGAGGTCGCCTGGATTCTGGATGGCCTGCAGGCGACGAACACAGACAGAAGCACAGATGAAACTCTCCAAAAACGATTTAAAAAAATGTAACTTCAGCAAAACATTTTCACTTTCAACTTTAATAATACTTCCATTTCATGGCAATTTCAGTTCGTCAATAATTGACTTGTTATCAAATGTCATTTGCCAACAAAACCTAATTTAGCTTTATTGACATGGCACATATCACTGTATTATTTGGTTATTGTAATGAACTATTCAACATAATTAACCAAACTATGCACCAAACGGACAACGAAATGAGAGCACAATTCGTCCTCAGGAAGAAATTATTCAATATGTTTTATTGTCAACTAATCCCGTCTTCTTCTTTTCGTGTCACTGAAGCGTGATGGTTGTATGACAGTTTCCCATTTCTTTACACAGCCCTTTGCATTTTTATTGAACACTGCAAGGTCTTTTGAGTTGCAAGGGTTGGGTAGTAGAGGGCAGACAAGGCAATGGTCCATAGTATGGTCTGCTTCGCCACATTCACATGTGGTTGGGCCAGCCTTGTAGCCCCATCTGACCAGAGCAGCTTTTGATTGTCCCGTGATAATCCCATGAATAGACTTAAATCAACACTATATTAGTTTAGCTTCTGTGGCACTCAGCACCCAAGCCCATGTGTCCCATTGAAATAAATGGAAATAATGGTTTATAAAAATCTAGTTTCACCTCTAAAAAATGGCTCACTAACAGCTGGGCACTGATTTTTTTAGCAATATTTTTCTCCAACAGGACTGAATGGAGCATTTGTTGGGGACTATTTTCAGTCTTTCCTCAGTGTCTTAAAAAAAGGCCTCCAAGTCCTCAAGGTTGGGAAGCGAGGAGAGGAAACCTTTTGTTAACAAGTAGAACAATGCCAACAGCTGAGCCATCAGCAGCAACGTTCACGCTGCAGAATGAAATGGTTTGCAGTAATGTGTCGCTTAATCTGAGCACAACAGCTGGTGTTCATCGAGACTAGTTTTCTACCAGAGCATTGCCCAAAAAACCCCAACATATTGCATGAAATGTTTGTTTTGAAGAAATACTTTAACACATTTGTGCCTCGTGCATACTGCATGGTACACTTTGTGTCAGGATTTCATCCTGGCATGCCATGTGTATCACACACACAGTGCGACGCGGCTCGACTAAACTCGAGCGTATTGACGTTCAGCAGTCGTCGACTGCTTGGTGCTCACTTCTCGTATCTCCTGGCCCGCGCCATTATAGGACTGCAGCTCGGCCAGGATCCCATGAGCCTCCTCCAGCACAGCGCTGACCTGGTTCCACACGGCTGTCTCTGCCTCCGTGGGCTGAGCATCTGTGAGGGGAAGGAAGGAAGGAAAGAAAGTGAAGAGGGAAGGAGGGGGGGAGTGGGAAGTGAAAGTGTGATGTAAGGTAGGGTTGGAACACGTTGAGGGGAGGTGGCAGAAAAGAGGGAAGGAAAGATGGCCGAGAGAAAATGAGACAATTTGAGGAGAGAAGATTAGTGATGGGAGGAGGAGCTGAAAAGATGATATCCTAGAAGGCCAGATCAAATCCTGAGATAAATAAGTACTCACAATAAAAGCAAAATTACTGCATTTCACATTGCAGCCGTCTAAGGTAAAAATCTGCCACGTAAATGAATGATCCAATTTACCCACCATGGAGTTATAACGAGAGACCTGCAAGCCACGCTCTGTCACACAGTGAGGTTTGATTACAGTGTGTATATAATAAGGACCAGAAGATGACAAGTCAGTTTCACCTCAGGGAGCTATTTGGATGAGGATGTAACTGTGAAAGCGCCTGGATTGCGCCACTTAAACAATGTGTCCGACTCCTAAACTGTAATCGTCTCAGCTGTTGATTCTGTGGAGATTTATGTTACACGGGCCTGGATACCGGTCGGAGTAATGGTCCTATTGGATTAATATAATAGTCTTATCCTTCTTTTTCTCACTCTCTATTTCCCCCTTCATGTCTACAAATAGTCTTTTTTTTACCTTGAGGTTTAATTATGAGAAATGTTAAAATAAACGAGCAGCAGGGAGGACAACCTCTGGGCACGTTCTCTGTCTCTGTTATACATGCTGAGCAGTGTGCGTACTGTAAACTCCGTGTTTTATGCCGCAGGGCGCCTCCCAGTCACACTTCTGCTTTGTTTGCCCATGTGGCGTGCTGCACACATACAGGAGTGAAGTGTTTGAGGGACACAATTTAGGATGTGGCCTCTTGAGTCATCACCGTGTTTGGTTTTCATTTTCTTCGAACACTCCGTCTTAATGTGTGACTCGGGTATAAAGCGAGAGTGGGAGTTTGCCCAGCCAGCTCTCTGCATGCGGTAGCACCACTGATTATTTTTGCACCGCGAAGGCATTGCCTCCCTGCAGAGAAATAGTAATCATGGAAGATTTGCTATCCTACATGCACACTGGCTGGCATAACGAGCACAGCTATAAGGACTTCTCTTTAACGTGCATTTCTCTCGTAAACAACAACATATTTTGTTTACTAGCTACAGTAACAATTAAATGGTCAGAGCATATGCTCATTGCATTCAAGGAGTAGCTCGCTCTCTTGCCGAGGAGATAGGAGATAGTTAGCTTAGCTTAGCATAAAGACTGGATGCAGGGGGAAACGGCTAGCCTGGCTGCTACATTATTATTTATTCTACTATGGCGAGGGGATGACCCGCCCTACTCTGCATGTGACTTGATTTACCCTGATATTCCTACCCTAACCAATCCCACTCCTTATTGCCTAGCTCTAACCAATCAACCAATGAAGGCAATGAGTGCTGGCCAATCAGAGGCAGACTGGGGCGTCATGCCGGCACCATAGTAGGATTAGTAATTTAGCAGCTTGGCACACTTTGGGTGAAATGCTGGATTATTTCTTGAAAGGGTGCACAGATTAAACTAATTAGATATAAGGTCTGTATTGAGCTTCATAAGTGCTTTGTTATTTTTGGACAGAGCCAGGCTAGCTGTTCCCCCCCTTTGTTCAGTATTTATGCTAAGCTAACCTAAGAAACTCCTGTCTGTATCTCCAAAGCAAAATTTTAAAATAAAAAAGAAAGCAGATAAGCTTGCTTCCCAAAATGTCTGGGGGAATCTGGGTTGCTTTATTTTAGCCCGTGAGATTGAGCGGTTACTTTTTATGTTGGACATGGCGGAGGATTCCATGTTTTCATGTGTGAGATGGAAACTCTAAATGAGGAGTTACCCACATTTTTGTCATCAGATTTGATCCTTCAAAAGGTTTTAACAATGTATAATAATTAGCATTCAGCCATAAACAGTTTAATGAGAGCTCAGATTAGAGTTTAAACCAAACTTTGAGCTGTGTGACAGAGTTGACTGTGTCTCTGGGTTGAGGAGAGCTCACAGATGGCACTGGGGTGGTTGGGGAGGGAGGGGGGGGGGGACGTGTCTAAAGCTGCCATGCCTGAGTCTGACTCATTCCACTTGCTTTTGAAGTAAAGTGAATCACAGGCATAGTAAATGAAGGGGCAATTCAGCCTGTTTGACAGCTGACGTCTCTTGCCAGCAGTGAGCTCTCCCACTCCCACTGTAACATACAGTCAGTTAAGGAGGAGGAGGAGGAGGAGGAGGAAGCCAGCTGTTAAAGGGGGAAAGTGGTTGAGGAGGAGCAGAATATATCGGGATACACTGCAAAACACCCCCATCTTAACAATTAATTTCGTCTCACAATCGGTCTTAAAATCTTTTTGACAAAAGATTTGATTTGAAAAATTTGGTTTGGATTTTTAGTCGTGATAACGACATGTCAGTGCCAGTTAGCAAGGATGCTAACACGCTAAACTAAGATGGTGAACAACATTACAGTACATCTGCTACACATGAGCATGTTAGTTTTGTCACTGTGTTTACATGCACATTTATATTCCACTATTATTGCAAAATTGACAATATTCTGAATTTGATATGGCTCATTGTGTTTAGATATTCTGAATAAGGCTTTATTCCAAATGGAATGAGCATTTTCCGATTAAGACATGTGAGACATGCTGATATTATTCGGGTTTTAGGAGCATTCTTTGGACATGTATACAGCGCATTCGGAATATGCGTCTCAACAGGATTTTTTACGGCACTTTGTGTTCCTGTTTACGACAAGCCCGCATTTCTGGTCGGAAGGAGAAACGCACCTACTTTTAGGCATTATGAAGGACTTGGATATCAACAGGTTTTTGGACACGCACAAATATTGCAACAACCTTTTCAAAAAGGCGATTTAAGGAATGAAAGAGGGAGGCTGTGTTTACACGGTCCAACAAGTCCGCCACCGGTGGAAAACTTTGAAAAAAACATATTTTAACAAAAAGAAACAAAATGGCACAAGAAGCTCCTGCTGTTTCACTTTTCCCTAGTTTGACGTGCTGAACGACATGTTAGGGCTTCGACTCCTGTCAAACACAGCCGAGAATATGTTAATCCGAATATGCACAGCTCCATGTAAACAGGAATTCTAGTGGAATATTATTTTTTATTAGCCATGTAAACAGCTTATTAGGAATATTGACTTTTTCAGAATAAGAGCAATAGCTGGAATATTTGGTGCATGTAAATGTAGTCACTGTGTGCATGCTAGCATGCTGATGTTAGCATCTGGCTCAACAAGTAGAGCCTCACAGAGCTGCTAACATGGCTGCAGACTTCTTCTTTTTTTAGTACCAAATGTTTTAGGCTTTGTGTTGCACAACTACAGAAGATTTTAAGTACAAAAATGAATTGTTGAGATGGATTTTTTTCACACTGCAAAGTTTAGAATTCACTGACTGGGAAATTGGAAAAAAGGGGGAAGATTGAGGTGGTTTTATTTACCAACCTCGTTCTCGATCTTTCTCTCTTTCTTTCAGTTTCTCTTTCTCAGTCTCACTCTCTCACTCACACATTATTTAGTGCAATACACCCACGCACACAGACAGGTCAGACATACAATAGGTCGCACAATAAGGGATGAGGAGATGAGGGGGTGGAGGGATGACGATCGACTTTTTGTCAGCCATTGTCAGGAACCCACACAGGACTGGCATTTACTATTTATTTCCCCTCAGTTTTTGTAGCTTATGAGTCGAGATCAAAGCATTATTGTTGTCATTTTGCAACAGCGCCACTATGCCATTGTGCATCTCTCTGTGTCTAATAAGATGTGGCACGTGTGAATAAGACCCTTTAGAAAGAAGCCAAATGCCTTTTTAAATGCCAGTCCCTGGAGCAGAAATCAAAAGATAAACCATTGGGCGAGGAGGAGAGGAGCTGAGGAGGGAGAAAGGTGTAAAATAGGATGTAATGATGACACAATGGCCGGCTAAGATCGATGGAATGAGGAAAAGAAAGCAAAGGCAACGAAGAGAAAGGGATAACTCAAAAAAATAAGAAGCGGATGGTCTCACGTTCAAAGTCAAGGAAAACTATTGGGCCATGCTCAAGTTCGGCGCAAGCCAGCACTTTCAGGAGGTTTCCCATGAGCCCCCTGGAACAGAGAGAGGGGAGAAGTCTGTGGGTGATGAGGGGACGGGTGTCGGGGTTGTGCGCGTGTACATGTGTGTGAGTTGTGTGTGTGTGTGTGTGTGTGTGTGTGTGAGAGGTGAAGGTGTCTGGGTGAGGGACTGGATGAGAGGGGGGTCGTTGGAATGGCATGGTGGAAGTATGTCCCGGGTGAAGCATGGCAACATGGACACAGAGCTTCTTTATTCCCACTCCTGGTTTTATTTATAGCTCGCTTCGAGTAGAACAAAGTCATTGATTTGGTGTTGATGGTGATCCTTAAGTTTAAAGGTCAAATGTTAGTGAATGGGACATGGAAGAGAGGAGGTCCAATCAAAATCTAATTTTCGTTTGCAGATTTAAATGTAAAAAAAATATTCAAATGTACAAATTCATTCCACATTTTATGGCACAAATCTTAAAATATTTGGGATTAGATTATTTTTCGATTGAGCAAATTATCCCAAGAACGAAAATTACTGAAAAAAAAACAAAAATCCAATAATTTATTCCTCATTTTATATCGTGCATTATGTGAGATTACATTTGTTCTAAAACGAACTGAGCAAAATATTCCAAAAGAATGTGATTGAGAGAGAATAAAAAATATTTTGAAACACAACAAAGCCATTGTTTACTTTAACAACCCTAACCCAAACCTAACTTTATATGTGTAGCATATATTTATTCAAAGTATTATGATACTTGACCTTAGAAGTCATTATACAATGCTTTATAACGGGTTATGATTATTTTATGAGGCATCATGAATATTCATGAGTGCTCTGATTATACAGTGCTATAAGTAGATAATGACACATATGTATGTTTTATAATGCTTGTTAAAGAAATGGGCGTCATAGAAAGTGTCACCATTTAAATTTTTTCAATGTTTAAGAGAATTTGTTGCATAATATTGATCTAAATCTAATCCCATAAAATCACTGTCTATAAAAATGCACCCTTACATGTAGTGAGGAGTCAAATCTGGATATACTGTATAAATGTCAGATTATGTAATCTTTTTTATTTCAGAACAGTGTTGTTTAAGAAGAAACGTTTGTCTCCCTGTAATTACCTGAGCACCATTTATAAATACCTACGCACCACATATTTAAACCATCATTGGAAAGAACAGCTTTCAGCGTCAGAAAGCACTGAGAGTGGGACTAGAGAGCGTCTGATAATGACAAACCACACCCACAACAACACTCCATCCCACCATCAGCAACCCAGCAGCCCACATCCAAATACACCTCCCGTGACCCCCACCCGGCCACCTCCCACTGAACACCTCCGCTGCACACACGTGCACACACATTTCAAGCACACGGACACGTGCACACAGCCCCCGGCGCTCACTTACTTTCAAAGTCCAGGAAAAAATGTGGACAGTTCTCTAAATCCTTGCCAAGGACCTTAATGAGGTTCCCCATGGCTGGCGACCTGGACGGGAGGAAACAACAAAATGCATACAGTACGCAGAACCTGGCAACCCGCACGACAATACACAGCATGCATAAAGAGAGCGCACAGCAGGTTGTGAGTGTTTCATTTAATTTTTTTACCCATCTGCACTTTTCTAATTATCGCCTCTTCCTCTCCTCCTCCATCCTTCTGTCTTAGCAATATGTCCAGAGCGAAGTCAGACATTCCAGTTACAAATGACACTGATCACATCCCACAGCGGCGTATGCTGTATTCCATTAGAGGGGGGCTGAAATCCAGTAGTGAATCATTAAGGTCACTCATGGAGAGTCACTAGAGCTGAGCAGTGGTTTTAATCCAGTTACACCACAGTAACCTAATAAAAGCCTGCTATGTACAGACTACTTTCTCCTAATGCTCTTTAAGTACAGCAGCCTATATGGATACTTTATGACGAGCTCTTCATACTTCATACCCAGACGCCACATGCCAGAACTTTATGAAACCGATGATGCAAGCTTTATTAGATTAAACTTTGGGTCAGACGGGCAGGAGCTACAGGAACACATGCTTGTTTGTTCATAACAACATATGTCGGGCTTTTTAAAAATTCAAGACCATGTTGTCCCTGCTCTCAACCTCTTCAATCCCCCGGGGGCCAGACAGTGTAAACTCGCGCTGTGGAGCCAAATATTATTCAAAATTGGGGTGGGTCGTCCCACAAAATCAGAATTTGATCTGGTACCAAGTAAAAGGCCAGAGCCAGCACTTAAAAATGAAAAGCAGCGTATACGTTCTAACATGTAAGGGAGAGCTATTCTCAAAACATAGATTAGCAGATTAGCAGTATCTATACTTAAGGTATCTAACCCCAAATTTGAACCCACAGTTTAGTGGAGTGTAATCTATGTTTTTATTGTGTATGTTACTTGACTTATGTCTGTGAAAAGCGCTATATAAATACATTTTACTTACTAGTGGGGACTTCAAAGTTTCTACAGATACCAAATATGTCGCTATGACCATTTGATTGAGTGTTGCAGCCATAAGGAACGCGTAGTCTCACTCGTTAACGTCACACTTGTAAACATCAGACGGCTTCAATAAAGAGCAGCAACAAGCTGACGCAGAATATAAACGTGATATTGTCAGACAGTATGGAATTATAACATGCTTTTAACAAACTAACAGCTACTTAAAGAGGACATTTAAGAAAAATGATTGTTAAGGGATCAAAGAGGAAGAGGATTTAGAGGCCACATGTGTCGCATAAAAAAACCCCACAATGAACACAAAAACCAAGTGGAATCCAATATTCAGAGACGACTCTCAGCTGTGTGAGTGTGAAAGCCTCCCTCCTTAATCCCCCTCGTTCCCTTTCCTTCTCGATCATAAAGGGCCTTCGGTAGCAGAAGGTGAGCTGCTGCCAAGTTTCACTTCCTCTGTGTTTATGTGCTATGTGAGCACATAGCCGAGGCCCCCCCCCCCCCCCCCCCTCTTCAAGAGTGATTAATGGCCAGCGTTCGCATGTTTACGAGATGCCACCGTCCCTGAAAAAAAACAAAAAAGAAAGCCCGGCCTTTTCCAATGTAACTCAGCAAGAACGGGTGTTGCAATGCAGCACTGAGGTACAGACAGAGAGGGGATGGAGTTACACCCTCCTGTCGCTGAGACAGCCTGCTGACATTCTCCAAAGTAACGATTGTGTCTACTTTGTTATACGTTTACAAATCTACTAAATCTGTTGGGAGGCGGAGAGAGAGAGAGAGAGAGAGAGAGAGAGAGAGCTATATGCCGAGTCACTGCTTTAACCTGTGAGCATCAGTTCAGACGCGCACAAACGCACTCCATCTCCTCTCTGACTTCACCTGCTCCGAGATGCACGCTGAACTGACGCTATGAATATATGAATAACCGATTGACGTCCTCAGCCTGACAAGGTGATTTGCAAAGGCAAAAATAAATAAAAAAAAGAGAATCAGGCTGAGATTCAAATCGGAGCCTCATATGAAGCAATGAAAGCTCTCTGTTGTGAGCAGGTGAGTGTGTGTGTGTGTGTGTGTGTGTGTTAGAGGTACAGCGTTCACACGCACACACACACACTCCACACACACACACAGAGTCTGGAGCAGCATGTGGTCCATCCTGAGAGCAGCGCTCGGCTGATGGTTGCCAGGATACTGTTGGCCTGGTGATATCGTCTGCACGTCTCAGCAGAAGATAAAAAAAAAATAAAAAATGAAAAAGCATCCAGCTCTGCCGCACACACTGGGTCAGTTGCTTACAACGGTGGTTGATGCACCAATCTTTAGTGGTTAACCAGCAATCAGTCTCTGTATTAATTACAGAACACAAAAACTCACTAAACCTTAAAACAGGAAATCAAGAAACTAACCGTCTCTCTTCTTACCCTCTTTTCCTACGCGTGATAAACCTCTTCCTTTTATCTCTAGTTTCGTCTCCTGTCCTCCTGCTGTCCTTGTCCTCCCTGCTTTGTGAAGTCGTTGCTGTTATTAAATCCCAGGTTAGCCCGGCTCTGAGTGACGACTGCAGTCCCACGGTGGCACTGGTTGCCGCTCTGCGTAGAGACTGATGTAAACTTCTGCTCTCGCTCTTTTTTCCCCTGACTCTGTGGATCTCCGTCCACTTCACACTTCTCTTTTTCAGCCATCTATTTAAAGGCTTGTGGTTTGCTCTATTTGGTCTGTGTGTGCTTGATGCTTCTCTTTATTTCAAGTTGTTTGTAGAAGAAGATACTCTGTTGGGTGAGTTGTTGGTATTAAGAGAATAAGATATGTTATTTGCATTTCTGCCTTTTTTATTCCCCTCTCTGGCTGTATCGTCCTTGTTGTGTGTCGGTATCTTTTTTAACACTTACACAAACAGAGAAAAGTCTTTTCGTCTCTGACGTCAGAATGGGTTCCTCAAAAATATCCCCTCCAGCTCTCCTCTCTGCCTCACTTCTCCATTTCACCACTCAGCAGCACTCTCCCGGCTCCTCTGCACTTGTCTTGTCACACGTCTATGTCGCGGTGCCGTTCAGTCTCACTGGTGGCCCTAAGGTGCAAACAAACCTAAGTGGCAAACACACCTTTCCCTCTTAAACTGGCGTCCATAATGTACATAAAAAAAGCTGTTAGATGTATCACATGCTCACTGTCTGAGCATTAACATGGCATGGCATTCTGTGAATTAGGAAGTGTGTTTGTTGGCCACTGGTTTCAATTTCTCTTCAACACACAACGTTTGCAGTCAGCCGGCGTGAAAGTGGAGCAAAGTGCTCGTCTTATGCAACTGCGCAGCACACAGCTCTCATCTGTAGTCCGGCAAGAGAAACCAAACCGAAGGGGCTCCTCGAGTCTTAATAAAGACACGGCTCGGCTCCCGCACGGCGGCTGAAAAGCAAACCTGGTCGCAGCGAGGCCTCTTAGCTTCCTTTTCAGCTCTTATTGAAAGATTCCTCCTGTTACAGCCCAGGAGCCTCACCAGTGTGGATTTACTGAGCACAGAAACAGCACTGATCGTCTTTGCCAAGTCCGAACCACTATTAACTCACCATTACCATCTGCACTCCCTTTCTCCATCTGTGTGTCTTTCTCTCTGCCTTGAAACCACAATGATCTCTCTTTCTGTCACACTGGCTGACTCTCCAGTGTTTCAGTGGCCTGTGAATCAAACCGATGCAGCAGCTGTACTGTACACAACTGATGCAGCGACTGTCTAGCTCTCATCTTTCCTCTCTACCCATCACCCGTTTCCTTATTCCTAAATTGTCCATCCATCCCTCCGCTCTCCGACTCCTCCATATGGTGTTTCTCTGCCGTGTCCTTATTTTTCAGCTGCTGTTCTTTTTTCTTTTTTTTTTTTACATAATTTTTTTTCTCTCAGCATTTTTCATTCCTACCTTCGCTTGTGTTTATCCCTCTGGAACACTTCACTGCATCAACCAGGGCTTGTCAGCTCCTCACAGTGGTTACAGCATCAGCACCCACCACCTGACAAAGAGACGGACAGATGGACAAGACAGAAAGAGAAATTAACATAAAATTCAACATCGTGTACACTAGAGTGTTGAGAAAAGCAGGAATGTAGATGTTTTTGGTTTTAAGAAGCATTGAGTGCTTGGCATGGCAAAGAAAAGCGTGGACAAAGAAAGGGCTATGAAGGGCAAATTAACATAAGAACAAAAGATTATACAATAATTATGTAATCAGGCTAGTGCTAGTTTGCCTTCAGGTGAGGATATGATTTTAACTAACGTTGGCTAGCTTTCCAGTGAAACTTGACACACATATTTAACCTGCTTCTACGTCTAAAAGATGTTTAGTTCAAACCTGCAATAGCTGTTTTTGTCCAATTGGGGGCGGCAAAAACAAGCAGTTATCACAGCACTAACATATAATCTCTTAAACTGATTGAGTAACAGCTAACTCTTTCTGCCATTTGGTGCTATAGAGGTGGTTCTTTAGAGCTTCTTCTTTCACTGAAAACACCTGACTGATGAGGGGGAGTGAACAAAACAGTAAAAACCAAAACAATATTTTGGTCTTTTTGGTGACCAGAACGCTGAAACAGTGCGCTGAAACAAGCTCAAAGCTCAGCAGTGCTTAGAGGAACTGCAGATTCAGGTGATAATATGAGCTATAAAGTTTCTACCCAGCATTAAAGCACTTGTGGATCCTAGTCAGAAACAAAAGAGGTACTCAAACCAAAATCATCAGTATTTCGCTTCCAAAAGCTACATCAGTCTAATCTGAGAACCTAGAAGGTGTTTCTTTCTCTCCCATTTTCTACACTTCGATAATGGATCGAGCTCATTAAGCTTATCTCAGTCATTGTGTGGCTCTAACAACTCCAGCGCCGTCTTACCCGCTGACTGGTGTAACTATTAACACAACTGCTGCTGCTCTTGCATCATCAAATCTCATCAAGAGAGAGTGCAGACAGCAGAGAGGTGCGGGCCTTTGAAGAATAGTTGCCAGGGAAACACAGCCTCTTATTCTCATGGCGACACAGTCGGGTACCGTTCAGGGTTCGCAATCAGGTGGATTGGATGGCCAGATGGATGGATGGATGGATGGACAATACTCTCCTCCTCTCAAAGGTTGTAAACCAGACCATCCACTCCTGTAATTACATGTATTTTACCTTAAATAGAGATTTTTATTTAGACTCTGTGTTCCCTTAAAGTAAATTGCCTAACGCTTATTGACCTCTCCTCTCAGTGAAAGGGCAAAGATCAAGTACTGCACAGGATGCTGAGGTCAAGAGAGGTGAAGACCTGAACTATGACACTGATGTTAACGCGTGTGGACAGAGTTAAGGGAAACTACATCTTTCTGAGTTAAAGTTTTCTACCCGTTGCACTTTAAAACTGACGTGAATTGGTAAAAACTGTGTCTGCTATGAGTCTCATGAGTCAACAGTGAAAGCCCCTCAGAAACTCCCATCATGTGCATTTCCTCATGTTTGGAACCACGGAGAAGAAGTTGTTTAAGGTAGAGGGTATCATTAATGAAAGGCCAGCAGCTGTCATGAATATTAATGTATTTTCACATCAAATTGAAAGCAGACATATAATTTTACTCCTGCTTCAGGGCCCTGACTACACAGTTTGATGGATTACCATTTTCAATTCTGTTAATTAGTTGAGTGCTTTAATTTGCCATTAGAGCTCCCTGCCACTTGTTTGCTTTCTCAGCACTGCTGTTTAAACGGATCTATACACAAACTTCAACTTCCGTCTCCGTACTTGCTATATGAGGGTTTGAGATGCAACTACATACACTTTGATCACATTTAGTTTATCTGAGTCACGTTTAAACTTTGATTCAAATTTTCATATTTTATAATACAGTTCAATCAAAACACCGGGGAGGAAAACAAACAAGTACAGGACTTTCATCCTGTCCTGTGCGAAACTAAAAGGAAGTGTTGACATTTTGTCACGTGAGTCACAGTGAGTCAAGATAACGAGTGGTTTTGATTGAATTTAATTATTTTTAAAACACACTTATGTTGTGGCCTTTAGAGCCACCAGATCAGCTGATCAGCTATGAGAGAGTTGGGAACGACGTGTCATCATCTCCCATTATCAGAAACACCAAGTGAGGGGATACTGTTCGGAAGACTCATGCTCAGTCAGCTCCACGTACCCCTGTAGCGTCGGTTTTAGACATGTCAGCGACGCCGTGCATGCATAGATTCATTCATATCATCTTTACGACACATTCGGTGAACACTGCCCTGTCCAGTTGCATATGGATTTGTTGTTTCTCCACAGATGTATTGGGTTTTACCTTTAATTTGTCTCTAGTCTTTGCGGATACAATTTTTTTGTTTTGAAGTATTTAAAGTCAAAACTAATGCGATCAGATTCCTGGAAGACTTTGATATCGGAGCTGTCACTTAATGAGCCCCGTCATGAATCAGTGTCCCGCTAATCAAATATTCGACTACTCTGCAGCCTCCAGTGAGCAGACACTGAGAGAGAAGTCTGACCAATCAGAGGGACAAGCCTTTAAATATATAGCTGCTTTTACCGCGATCTCAGAAAGAGATGGCGAGAGAGTCTGAGGGGGAGGAAAGGGAGAAAGTAAGAGATCACAGAATCATTGTATGCAGACATCTGCCCGTTTAGTTGAGAGTCCAAACCCACTGGTTATTATTCCTATTCTCTCTTTTCTGCAGCCGTTCGTTCACTCATCTTCTCGCCGCACACCCTTTTGACCTCTTCCTCTGTTTGTGGGTCTTTTACATCCTCTCCTTCTTTGTTCTCGGCATATTGTCCCTGAAGGTAGAGATGAGTGCAGGAGGCTGCGGATAAATCACACGTACGTGTGTTTTGAGAGACAGGAGAGGAAAAGAAGGGGATGAACTCTACACACCCACCTAAACTCAGTTAATCCTCTGCTTTGTTTGGAGGAAATGTGAAATGTATAATGCGCAGTGTTACTTTACTGTATATTGATGTAAGTATGCATCATCCGAATGCTGGTGATAGGTGGGAGGGAAAATGGATGATTACATACTGGAGGACAGATCTGTGGGAGGAGATGAGATGAGAGAAAGAAGGACGGGAGAGAAGAGGAGAGGAGAGGACAATGCGGAAAAGGAGTGAGAAAGGAAAGGAGAGGAAAAAGGAAAGACGGAAAGGGAAAGAAAAGATGAGAAAACAGAAAAGCAGAGGAGAATAGTGGAGAGGAGAGGAAGGTAAGGAGAAGACAGAATAGGAATGGAGCGGAAAGGAAAAGTTAAGTCAGAAAAAGTAAAGGAGAAGACATAAAAAGACAGTACAAGAGAGGAGAGGGAAAGGAGATGAGAGAAGAGGAGAGGAGACAAAGAGCTAGTTTGAGGAGTCTAATGGGAGGTGGCAGTGTCAAACCCAGCTATACCCAACGGTAAAGATTGACCGCCGATGGAATGCTACAGCCAATTTGCCTCAGGCCTAGAGACACACACACACACACACTCACAGACACACATTCACACACAATTAGTTACTGCCGTCCCTGAGGTGAGGAGCAAAGGAGAATAAAAGGGGAGATTGGCTGAGCGTGAGAGCAAAGGATGAAGCGCCAAATAGCAAAAAAGAGCGGAAAATGGAATGAGGAGGTTACGATTCTTCAGCATCACCCCTCCCCCTTCTCTCTATCACTCTCTATCACTCTCTCTCTCTCTCTCCCTCACACACACACACACACACTGGCTGAGTCCAGAGCAGTGCACAGTGCCTTATGAAAGGGCGATTGCAAATGAGCATTGTGATTCTGTGCTGCGAGGCTGACAAAGAGAAAGGGGTGGATAGAGTGAGAGTGTCAGCGAGAGAGAGGGTATGGCATGTTTAGGCTGGTACTTGAATCCATTTTCATTGTGAACAAGCTTCAGTTTGATCATTCTTTCAGTTGAAATAAAGAACTGAGGCAGCAACGGATGGATTTCAAGGCTTATTTGCTCAGAGGTGGATAAAAACCGAGCTCTAATGTCTCTATCATGTAGATATTATGAAGGTTTATATGCATTATGTGTATTTGCATTGGCTATTTGCAGTATCCTGTTTGACAGAGGGTCCAGCACGAGGGATTATTGGTCGTAAAATTCCAATTTCATGCTCCGTTTTCGTCCTTTTCTTCACCACAGAGATGAATAGATGCCGTATATTTAATGCAGCCATTAATATTTGAATACCACAATTTGGCTCTTGGGCGTTTTGAACCTTGGAAAAGCCGAGTTGTAAAAAATTCAGCTTTGAGTTTCATTTTTAACAACAGTTTCCTCTCAGAGCTTTGGCTGTCAGAGGAGGAGTGAATATACAGTAAGCTCTTGTTATCCTTATTTGTGATGTGGGATGCCAATTAGCTGCTATCAAAGGAAGCGCTATAGGCTTTTAGGGGTCTACACACACTCGCAGGGGGGCTCATCATGTGTGTATGTGCATACCCTTGTGTTACTGTCATTGCTGGGGCTATGGTTGCACCCCCCCCCCCCCCCCTTTCCTTGTCCTTCCCTGACCCCCTGCTATCTGTAAACAAAGAGAGAAGCGATATATGTCTGTACAGCCAGAAACTCTTTGTCCCTGACAGACTGCTTACACACTGCTTTATGTGGGTCGTGTGTGTGTGTGTGTGTGTGTGTGTGTGTAAGCAGAGAGTAGGTACAGTATGTGTTTCTGTTTGTGTGCGTGTATATCCACCTGGAATAGAATTGAATTCATTTGCGCTGAACTGGTTTGACTTGAATCAAATTGAACTAGAAAGGTAGACTCAGTAGAATGCAGATCTCCGCCAGGTGTGTCTGCAACGACCAATACTGCAGTGTGTGATTGAATAAATACATCCCACAATTGGCTAACCCCCAGTCTATACACT